CCCCCACCCTCTCCCTGAAGGTGAAGTGCAATGCAGTGCCACGGGGCCAGGCCACCGGCGGGAGGAGTGCCCAGGGTTTTGGGTGCTCCAGCCTGAGGTCACCCCAGACGGCAGGGCAGGAGAGGGGTGCCCACAGAGGAGGCCAGCTGAGCTATTCTAGGAAGTCGGCCCAGAGATTTTCCAGGAAGCCCGGGAACCACTTCCGCGGGGCGCTTTGCATAAATTTACATGGCAGAGAATTTTCTTCCCGTGCTGTGTTCCTGAGGCTCTGACTCCAAGGAGACCAGAATGCCAGACGTGACTCAGGATGCAGGCCTTTGCCTGCTTTCTGACAGGCCGGGAGGGGCTGCGAGGAGGGGTGAGGCTGGGGTCGCCCGTCTCACGTGGAGGATGACCGGGTGTCCTGCTGTCCGGGACTGAGGGTGTCTCTGGAGGCAGGAATCTCAGTGCAGGTCACTCCCTTGGACAGTACCCGCCGCTGCACATGCTGTCCCGTTCCGTGTCAGGGCACGTGACCACCATTGATGGAGCACCAGTCACCAGTGTGCCCCGTGTGTCCAGGAAAATCTCCCTTCAGGTGGCGACAAAGAGGAGACAGTATAGGGGAGTCCGTTTTCGGGTGTGAACAGTCAGCATTCTGCCCCCCTAGCATCTCTGCCCTGAGGTGACTACCCACCCATCCTCAGTGACTCAGAGGCGCGCCAGCCCTGTCCAAAGCACAGGCTGTCCGGCTGTTTGGGGAGGCCAGACTCAGCCGACAACTGTCAGGACAGTGGGGACCAGGAAGGAAGGGGTCAAGGGCTGCAGGCGGGGCTCAGCCTCCCGGCCCGGCCCGGAGGAGGGCGGTCAGTGTGGGTGGGCAGTCAGAGAAGGGGCCCCAGAGGAGTTGGGGTACCGGGGTACTGTCACACAGGGCAGGGGAAGAGTTTGGGGATGTCTGAGCTGGGGAGTGGTGGGAGGTGCACGGGGAGGGGCCAGGGCGGGAGGGCAGAGGGAGCATGTAGGTAGCAGTCTGAAAGGAGAGTTCACTCACAGTTTGCTCCTATTGATTCTTGGGAGCCGGCAGAACTTAGGGAGAGGTGTTCTCGCTAGCCAGAAGCTGAAGAACTTGGGACAAGATGGAGTGCGGTGGGGACAGGGGTGTCCCCAGAGCAGGGAAGACTGGCCCAGGAGCAGGGGGAGCTGGGAGAAGCTGTCCCGGGAGAGAGAAGAGTGTCATGGAGGCTGGTATTGACCAGAGTAGCTGTGGGCTTTGGGTCAAATCAGATCCACGCTCTCCGCTCTCCGGCATGTTGGAGCAAGAGAGGCCCCCTGGTCTTCCCCAGCCGGGACTCGGTCCTCCCCGGAGGGCGGGGGACCTGACTGGCTGGGCCTGAGCCCGGAGCGCCCTCAGACCACCTCCGACCTTCGTTGCCCTGGCATCACCGGAAACCTTGCAGCCAGGGCTCAGCCAGGCTCGGCCACAGCAGGGCGTGGGCCCTGAGCTGCTGGAGGAAGGGCAGGGCCAGAGCCAGGTGCAGGAACAAGGGAGAGAATGGATCCCGCCGCCTACAGTGAGCCGCCTGCCCTGCGGGGGCCCAGGGACAGAGGACACTCCCGCTGGTTTACTTTGGAACCTGAGGCCGCCTGGCTGCTGGGGAGCAGGGGCCTTGGTCTGGAATCTGGTTTCAGAAGCCACTCAACCCCAAGGGCCCTTCCTGAGACCCAGGGCCCCATCCTCAGGGCCTCTTTACTAATGTATCGAACAATGCGCTGTAGCAGCGGGGCGGTGGGTATTGTAATCTTGAAGTATCGACGAGCATAGTCTAGATACCTGCTGGTCCTGTGCTGGGACAGGGATTTAGCCTCAGTGTCTAGTGGCCGTGGATACTGCTAAGCACTTCCATTTTGCTACCTGCATTCATAAGGGGAGGAAACACTAAATTTCAGGAAAAGGTTAATTAGAGTGAGATGCACTCTGCCCACCCCCAAAACCCCCCCCCCCCCCCCCCCCCCCCCCCCCCCTGAATTCTTTCATTCTTTCCCCATCCCTGTGAGAGGTCTGTTAGGAGCTCGTGAACTACACGGAGAAGCAAAGCTAATCTATGCTGTTAGCAGTCAGAACAAGGGTTACCCTTGGTGAGGGAGGGTAGTTAGTTAGTAATGGGAGGGGAACCCGTCTGAAGGGCTGGGAGCAACTTATTTCTTGACCTGGACGCTAGTTACCAAGTTGTTCAGTTTGTGGAAATTCACCCACCTGTACACTTAGGATCCGTTCACCAATCTGCAGGAATAGTTGATTTCAATACAAATTTTAAGAACATCTTTCCTGCCCTGGCCGGGCGGCTCAGTTAGTTGGAAAGTCGTCCCGGACACCAAAAAGGTCACAGGTCAATTCCTGGTCAGGGCACATGCCTACGTTGCAGGTTCGATCCCTGGTCAGGGCACGTTCAGGAAGCAACCAGTGTTTCTCTTCTCTCTCTCTCTCTCTGCCTTTCTCTCTCTCTAAAAAAAATCAATTAAGAAAACATCCTTGGGTGAGGATTAAAAAGAACAACAACAAAACCACCTTTACTAGAACAGATGTACATGCAGGTGTGAGCTTGCGCGCACGTGCGCGCGCGCGCACACACACACACACACACACACACACACACACCCCGGTGTGTACCGGTCAGCCCCTGCAGGTCCATGACATATGCGTCTCTCCAGATCCGTTGCAGGCGTGTGGACACAGATGGATACAGTGAGGCAGAGGCAGAGACACTATTTTTAGGAAATAATGCCAAGCAAAGAGGAGGTTTCCCGATTTACAGGTCTAGTGGTGGCTCATGGTGGCGAGGACTGCCTTGCATCCAGGCAGACTTTTTTGTTGTTGTTTTTTTGTTTTCGTAAAAAGAATACTGACTTTATTGTTCTCCTAAAAATAATACATGATCACCTTCAATAACTCAAGCACTGAAGAAAAGCACAAAGGTGGTTATTTCCAGTTACCCCGATTTCCACAAACTGAGAAAAGAGCGCGCCATTCCCATTCAGGGACGAGGTCGTGCCTGTTGTGTTCAAAGGTGGAAGGTAGACAGACCCATGCTCTCATCCACGGGAACCCATGCTTCCTCACCTGCCATCTTAACCAGGAGGCTTCTCTAACTTGACTTGGATGACAGGGGGTTGGGGGATAGGGTGGTTTCAAAGCGGAGGTCCCGGGACCTCCAGGTCCTCCTCCACCGGCCGCACACATTCTGGGCTGCGCTTCCCGGGGAGCGGAGGCGCCCTGGCGAGGCCTGCCTGTGTTGTGTCTGCTCACTGTTTACCTACCACCTGCCAGGTGCCCGACTCACAGCGATCCATCCACAGCGCTTGGGGCTGGGCGCCTTGGAGGGCTGCATGTGGAGTCCACGGTGACAGGTTTCGCAGGAGTAAGATCAGGGCCACGCGGGCCCTTGGGTGACAGAGAGGGATTCTGTCCTGGCAGCGATCTCCAACAGGTGTCCGCCCTGCCCTCGGAGCCGGTGCCTGGCCCTTCCCGGGGCTGATGTAATTAGCGACACCGCTTCCCGGCCGTGTCCTGGTCAGGAGCTGTGCTGGCCACATCCTGTTTTGGTGGGACAGTCGGGCTCGCATTCCTTGGTCGCTGTGTCATGGGCAGAGCATGTTCACACCAGGTCCTGGATCATTTGAGGCCACCGGGGGCCACATTCTCCCGGTTTGGCGTCACACGCATGTGCCGGCTGCACGACCTAGCGGATGAGTGGCCATCGTTTTCGGTTCTGCTGTCACTTGGGGTCAGCCCTCCTTTGTTCAGAATGGGGCGGGGGGAGGCCTGAGGCATCTGAGGTGCTCCGTCAGCGTTTCCCGTCTTTGCAAGGATGCCTCACCATAGGGATTTCATGGCAACAATCTTCTCAGCAGGGCTCCTCAGCAGCTGCGTCCCCCCGGGTGCCAACATCTGGATGACAACTCCAAACGTGTTATCCAGCTGTTCCCAGAAGCCCACAGGATGTGCCTGGGTCTCTTGGCAGACACAGACGCCCCCGCCTGTTGCCAGATGTTGGTACCTCCAGGCCTCACGTGAAGTCTGGCCCCTCTCCCCCAGGCAGGCCCGTGGTGGCGTGGGGAGACCAGACAGAGTGTCCCCCACTCTGCGACCCACCACCCTGGCTGGAAAAGAAGCCCAGAGTGTGGGCTTCGGTCCAGGAGGCGTCTGATCACCCTCCCAGGGCCCCAGGGTTTCCTGTGGAAGGGACAAGCTTGAGAGGGGGCTGCACTGGGACCTTCTAATGCCCGGGCCCCTCACCGATGTGTTCTTTTTATCACTCAGTCCGTCATTCATTGGTTCAGGACCAGCCCTGCTAGAGATCTGAGATAAAGAGAGGGCAGGCCGCCCCCGCCCCCCTGGGGTGTCCCTCTCGGTCCACAGTGTGTCACACAGTTCTGAGAAGTGTCTCAAAGTGCACTTGGGCCCAGCCGCGGTGGCTCGGTGGTTGAACATCGACCTATGAACCAGGTTACATGCCCAGGTTGCGGGCTCGATCCCTAGTAGGGGGCATGTGTGAAGCAGCCAATCAATGATTCTCTCTCATTGATGTTTCTATCTCTCTCTCTCCCTTCCTCTCTGAAATCGATAAAAATATATTTTTGAAAACATTTTAAAAAGTGCACTTGGAGGAGGAGCCAACAGGTGCCAGTGTTTCCTCTGTGCTGAGTGGGGCAGAAAGAGGGGCTTCGATGACGCCATCACTCTTGCCCACTTGCACTCAGACGTGCTCTTTGGGGTGTGAGGAGTGACCGTCCTGCGGGCCCCTGTGCACACCCACAGCCTGGAGGGCCCCGGGCTTACCCAGGCCAGCAGCCACCAGGTGTGCCCGTGGGGAGACCGGGCCTGGTCTGGGAGCATCTTCGCACACCGTGCCCTTCCCTCCGCCAGCACAGCCGCTCCCCCGCAGGTCCGCCACCCTGCCCTCTGGCCCTGGAACCCTGGGCGTGGCGTCAGGCCTGGCGTCTGTGTCTTCCAGCTTCCCCGCAGGCGGCCGGAGGACAGCCTGGGCCCCAGAAGCAGGATGAGAAGATGGCAGACGTCCTGGTACCTCGGGGCCCCAGCAGCTTCCACAGGTTCACCCGGGAGTCTCTGGCGGCCATCGAGAAGCGCATGGCGGAGAAGCAAGCCCGGGGCTCGGCCACCCTGCAGGAGAGCCGGGACGGGCTGCCCGAGGAGGAGGCTCTCCAACCCCAGCTGGACCTGCAGGCCTCGAAAAAGCTGCCGGATCTCTACGGCAACCCGCCCCGAGAGCTCCTCGGGGAGCCCCTGGAGGACTTGGACCCCTTCTATAGCACCCAAAAGGTGACTGCCACTTCCCCACCCCCTGACCCCCTCACCTC